GTCATCGATCTTTTCAATACCTTGTTAGCAATTTGTCTTTAAAACAAACCTAGTCCCTACATATTTCGTCAACATATTGTCAATTTGTTCATGTCACATCTCTAACAAGACATCAGATTCATGTCACTTGACAGGTTTCACTTTTTCATTTTGTTCATTGTATGCAAAATAGGTGTGGGTGGATTGGAAATCGAGTGGATTGTTGTTACCAAGTAGCAAAATACACCTGTACTCATTCACTTTTTTTAAGTACAAGGTGGAGGTGGACATTGAATCGTATAAAGAACAACGACGGAAGTTATGTGACATCAATCCACCTGAAATCAGATTAAATTACGATCCAACTCGTTAAATAGGAATGATCTAGTTTAATTTATTTAAATTTCGCAATGAGCAAAAAAAATTGGTCCCGATTTCCTGGGAGGTTCTCTCTCTACTTGTGTCGTTGAGTGACGTGAAATCAATTAAAAAGTCGTTCATAGCTAGTCATTAAAAGTTGAAAAGAGGAATAATAATTTAGATTATAAAATTTCTGAAAAAAACAATATCTGCACAATTTTCAGTGCAGATGAGAGAATCTCGCTGCTCGGAATACTGGATTTGCACACAGAATTTACATATTTGATTTGATGATTTACTGCGATATTCGTAATCCAGCAAACTTCGTAAACTTCCCGATTTGCAAAGATTACGATGGAAAATAAGCTTTATATCGTAAACTTACACATTTATAATAAGTTACAAAACTTTTTTACAATTTTTTGAGTTACTAATTTCCGATTGATCTATGGTATAGCTTCACTTCGAAACCTTTAATTGAAATTTTGAAAATTATTTTTATTCATCAAATTGTTACGTAGTTACAACTCCATGCATTGTTTTAATTATTTTCACAAAAATGTACAAATTTTAGCTCTAATAAAATAGTAACCTTATTCAATCCATGTCATCCTATTTGAATATTTTGAAAAATAATTTTACGAACTTTGAGCCCAACATCCGAGTGAATTTCACACTCAATCAATTTATAAATAATTTATTGTTGTGTGTATTTTCTGCTCATCTAATTCCACTCGGTCGGAGAATGAGGACGAGACACAATTGTCCCTTGAATATAAAAAAAATCTAAAATGACAATACATACATCTCTGCAAAAGTGGAACAAAATATGAGAGAAACAAATCAAGTGTGTGAAAAAAGTGGTATGAAATGAATGCATTATGAATTGAGTGGCCGATTTGTATTTACGTACTTATTTGACCGATTTACTTCTGCTTAATCAAGTTCAAGAAGAAGAAGAAGAAGAATTTTAAACAATGAGAATGGATTCGATTGTTATCTCGCATTGTTAATTTTCATTTTCATTAGTTATCCGCACACTTTGATTACACTTGTTGGGATTGAAACGGGGTGAAGTATGTAAAATTGTGAGGGGAAAATTCGCACACTTAATAATTCAGCGTAATTGGGGACTTTATGTAGTGTCAATTATTGTTGTAAAAATAACAATGAATTTTTTATGGGGAACGCAAATTTTTGAGAGGAGGATCGATACTTAATGTGGGAAAAAAGATGGATAAAGATAAGAATTAATTATTGGGGTAATTTTCGATTTGTGAAACGACCATGTTTATAAATAAATAAAAGTTGCACACTGTAACATAGTTTTGTTTTAGGTGAATATTCTCGTAAGAATTATATTTACTTATCTTTGGAAAAATAATGGGGAGTTAGAAGTTACAAGGTTTTTGTAATTAAGAATTGACCCGTTTTAAAAGTAAGAACTGTTTAAACTTTTTAAAGAATTTGTAAACAAACCAAATTTGTAAATGGGTGACGCCAATAGTAAAAAGTTCATAAAAAGTATTTAAAATTGTAGTAAATAGATCCAGAGGTGTGTTGCCTTCCTATTTTTATTTTCGAATATGTCATCATTTTAATCAGTTGTAATAACCCTAAATTTAAAAAAAAGTATGATTTTTTTTAATTTGCAAAAAAATTATCCGTTTTCAGACAATTGTAATTTTGTGACGTTCATATTATGAAAATTAAATTATTAAGAATATTAAAGCAACGTAGATGCAGGTGCTTCAGAATTGTAAATATTTTCATAAATTTAAAAAATCCTCGAGTTTAAAGTTTACATTGAGAAGTTGGACGTAGATAATTATGGATTTAATCCAGACAAGAAAAGTGGAATTGAGTCATTAAAAGCTCCAAACTTTGTATATACATTCTCTCCTTACGCCAAAGTATGAAGTGGAATGCACTCGACACACACAACATATTGCGAATTATGTATGCATATTTTTGCAGAGGAGGAAAGAAAGAAAAAAATATTTCAATGTGCGTGACGAAGACAATTGTAATCGGATAATCGTACCTCTAGAAGAAAGAGGGGTCTATTAAGATTACATTTGATTTAATAGTGGGCCGTTGACCGACAAGGAGTCGGAGACAATAATAAATATCATGCACATCCAGCCAGTTAATAAAAGACTATTCATGCAACAATATTAATATTTAGATTTAACGATTTATAAATATTCGCACGATTAAGGGTTTGCAAAATCATGGGAAAAAAGTTTTTCGTGCAGGTAAAAATTTATTTTATCCGGGAAAATTTGCAAAAATTTTGGCAAATCTTATATAAGGATATCAACCCCCAAAACTTGTGAAATTTGTCAGGTTCAATCACTAAAAGGTTATTTCGCACTTGTGCAAAATAATTGTGGCGAAAATGTGCGCAATTACTACTACGTGATGACGAGAAACGGCAGGATATCCCGGAATTTGTTAACCTTACTTGACCCGCGGAGAGATTTATGAGGCGATAATTGGTCGTGACTTGACACAAGTGCCAATAACTTATTTAATCATGAATCAGGTTTTTCGCTATGAAATCGTGTATCATCTCCGAGGAATTTAGGATGGCATTTGCATAAAAATCAATAAATTGGAAATATAATTTTTATGAATTTGACGACGATACTAAATTCCTTGAGGTGTTAATATTATGTAAAATGAAGAAAAAAGATTTTTTAAACATGTTGTATGTAAGAGAACAAGACACAAATTTGCACTTTAAGAATTCGACTATTTTCAATTCAATATTTTTGCCAATTTCTAAATACCATTATTTAACGCGAATTTACTTCTGGGAGATTTGTGCATTTTTTTTCGTCGTAACAAAACTAGACACAAATTTGCACTTCGATGGTTGTCAATTCAACATATTTTTGCCAATTTCTGGTAGCATTGTATTTAACGCGAATTTAGTACTTCTGGGTGCAGCCAACGGGTCACGTTTCCTCCCAAAGTGATGAAATTTGCTGCAGTTTTATTTTGTGTCAGGCAAGACGGATGGATTGACACGACGAAGCAGATTTTAAAATAATACTTAATATTTCTCCCTCGATAAGATACCAGATTGGTCAAAAAAGCATCCAATTTAGTAACAACAAGTATTCCCTATGGGCTACTTTTTTGTTATGTATCTACTTACACGTGCACTTTGCAAATATTGGCAAATATGCAACAAGAATTTCTGCGTGAAAAATTCTTGGCACATCGCAATTCGCAACTATATAATATTTGAAATGCATAAATGTGGTCAAAAATTTTATAACAATTTTGACCACACGTCACGATCCGTGGTCAACTTCAACTCTCTCTGAATCTGCATTGTATTCATCCCTTTCGTCAAATTCCTTCCCTCCGGGTTCGTTTTGGTTTAGTTCTAGATTTCATTTTTTAATAATAATGCCCTGGTTTTTATATGTATGCAAACTGTTAATGTCACGTTAAAAAATATTTGCTGCTACAATTTGACATTTCTTCTTTCAAACCTGGCCGAAAGGAGAAATAAATGTGCATTTATTAAATACTGACCTAGAAAAAATGGACATTCACACTGCCCTGTTACCTGTCACTGTCAGCGATAATTATTAAGAAGGAATTTGAAAATGTTTATTTTTTGTAAATTTAAATTCGAAAGTTTTTTAAGTGAGGAGGGGAAAAATTCGTGGAATTTGAGAATCTGCATTTATTTTGTAAATGGAATGCATTTACCAATCAACACATATTTACATCTTGATCTGATTGGATTGGATGTGTCAAACTTGCCACGCAATTTATTATAATTAGTGCTTCACTTGTTTATACGGTGTCCTTGGGTAAATAAAATTCTGTTTGTTTCACGTCATTCATCGGCATGTCGGCGTGTATTGTGAGTAATTAAGTGGAAGGGATGGATTCAATTTTGAATTTTAAATGAATTTTAATTTTAATTGGGGACATGGACAATTTAATTTTTAGATTAATATTAATTAATTGATGGAAATATGCAAAAACCTTACAATGCTGAGTTACGTATTTGTTATGACCGCCACACCCTCCCAAAAGGCGTGAAAAGGTGTCAATATCGTCAGATTAGATATTATAATGCATATATTTTGCAAGTTTGAATTTTGGCGACTTAAAATTTGCGAAAGGCGATTTTTAGCGATTTTTTGGGACATGTGACTCATATGAAGATTATCCGCAAAATTTTAAAAGCCATATAAATTTGTGAGTAAAAAATAACTAAGATTTTTCCGTCCTAAATGAAATACATACGAATTTTACACTGAAAAAATGTGTCTTGTTAAAGAATTTGAGATGAGAATTTCAGTAGCGATCGTAAAACAAAAGTAAACCAGGAACGAAGCAAAACGTTGCCGACTTCTGAACCGGTGGTCAATTAGGAATTTAATTAGTGTGTCAAAATGTCAAAGAATTGCTGAAGGGGAGAAAATCTGCGAAAGCAATAATTTTCAACTTATCATCTAAAGATTCCATGATTTTGGCGTCGTGCTGTATACAAACCTTTTAGTTGGAATAATACGTACAAATATTAAAAAATTTTCAAAATTGTCGTCTAAACTAACCAAATTTTAAAAAATCTAATATTATTACAAATTATTTTGTACTAATTACCAACGTTTTTGTTTATTTTTCAGATCTTATTGTATTCGAAGATGAAATCTCCATCACCTAAAATAAGGTAAGCATTTATAAACAATTTTCATAAAATTCATAATCGACATTGCAATTTTCAAAATTTTGACTACAATCAAAAATCAGTATATTGACGATTCTTAGTCAATTTTAAAAACATATACATATTACTAACTCAAAAGATTGCACATTATGGAACCTACATACGTCAGAAATTGGGCACATTTTTGCACACAAACTTCTGCCCAAGAGAAAATGGCCTGGTTGCGAAATCAAATATTTTGCATTCATTTCATTTCTTTCAGTTTGATTCAGTCTTCTCGATTCAATAATTCATTCCTATTTAATTTTTTGCGATATTTCATAATGCAATCCATCACTCAATTAAGACCTTGTTAAAGTTGGATGGACTCATATACATACATCACATGAAAAATAAATTGTGCTTATCATGGTCTCATCCTCAATTGGATTTGGCGATGCGATGCAAGTCCAGTTCATGCGAGAAGAATGCATGCAGTCATTCACAGCATAATGGCACAAATTAGAATTGTGTCATTGTTTGTTGCCCCCAAAAAAGGAGTGGGGGATGAAGAAGATGAAGATGAAGAAGATGCACAAAATATTTTCTTGTGTAATTTTCAGGCAGGGTTTCGTAAAATGAAGGGGGACAGATTAGATTGCGTACAAAAAAATGCGAATATTTTCGGTAAAATTCATAAAATACTTCTGTCCGTACTTTTTCCGTCTTTTTCTAAATTTCTCATACCTACATTTAATTTAGATATTTATTCAAAAATCGGTAAAATACAAGATCGACGTAGAAGTAATGAAAATATATTTTTATAATATCATGATTTATGCTGGTAGTCTGGGGATTTGTAAGTGAGGGGATTTATTCTGTGAAAACTGTAAAATATGACTGAAATATTGGATGAAATTCAACTTCTGTTTCATATGTAGAATCAATTCAATTGATAAACTGATGGCCAATTAAGTAAGAAAAATTATTAATTGTTGAAAACTATAAATAATATGAATTTGAAATCTAAATACAATTTTGGATGTACAAGTTCTCGAATTATTTAAACAGACGTGTAACCCTCGCATTTGTCTTTATCAATCAAATATAATTTACCTGCAGCAATTAGCCTAGAAAATGTGGTTGATTTCATTTGTACAAGTTTTTTGAAAATCTTAACCTTTGTCAGATACGTTCATTTAAAAGAAATTGCTCCGTGTCCAGGTTGCATTTCTGCTCCGAAAACCTGAGCAAAATAGTCAATGAATCCAAAATGCGTATTATTTCAGCTGGATTATATGCATAAACATAATAACCACAAATTAGAAAAGTTACAGTTAATTAAATGCGCTTTAGAATATAAAGTATTAAAATTTAGTGTATCAATCTGGATGTTTAATTAGGTCTTAGAATTTCCAAAATAATTACAATCGGCCACATTTTCTTACATATCTATTTGTACATAATTACCATCAAAAATCTAACTATCATATACTCATCTCTAATCCAAAAATCTGTCCATTGTCCAAATTCAAGTCACTTTTCTCCACAAAATCCAACCCATTTAATCATAAATACCTCCCTCCACCTGCCCCAACCCTGACCAATTCTAAGTACTCTACTCTACAAATTTATCCCTTCATTCTTAATTCTTATCAGCTCTAAGATTTCATTTGCAAATCTCTTGCACTTGTAAAAAAGATAAAGAACAAAAAAAGTCGTGAGTCTTCATCAATGGTTTCGTTTAAGTTGAATTATGTTGGTCAAGTTATGCATTTGAAAGGGAGGACATTTACCTAACGAGGCATAAATATACCGACTTAAGTGTTGGTATTGATGATGCAGTGACGCAATTAATTAGCAGGTTTTAACCTACATTTTCCCATTGAATGAAAACGAACAAGTGTTTTCTTTTGTGTTGTAAAACGATTCAAATTTAAATCTAATGGCATGGTCAGCAGCCCTTTTTTCTTACTGCGTTCATCTTTGTACTAAATTATTTATACAAATTTAGTACACTGAATTATTCCTGTTACTTCATCGTCGTCATCGCCATCAATAATAATCGACACCTTGCACAACAGCGCTTTTTTATTCATAAAAATATCTAACCGTCCAGATCTTAACAGAACGTGTTACAGTTTAAAATTGTGCCAATTTTTGCCCTGGTTAAACTCTGCCCAATTTGTGCTTAGATTATTATTATGTGAATTCTATTGTTGCTGGGAAGAATGGAAGAAAAAAGATTGCAAGTTTTTGAAAAGGTGGCATGATTTATGTGAGACCTATTCATTTATTTAGTTTACCACGGTCATGACATTGCCTGAATTAAGAAGGGTAGTTTTGAATTTGCAATGGTTTTTGTGAAGATGCATATTTTTTTGCAGTAATGTTTATGTATTTTGTATTGTCTGTTTTTCTTTAAACTTGGTTAGAGAGACAAATATGGTGGTTGAAGAAGAGGAAAAGGAGGAGGAGGAGGAACAAGTGAGTAAGTAAACTAATGAGGTGACGGTGTCAAAGGTCATCGTGATCAAAGGGGCATCTGCATTGTATTGTTTGGGTTGGCAGGTATTCGTAGAAGGGGGCAATGTCACTATGTAAAAGTGAGGATTTATGAGGGTGTAAGAAGAAGCACGCTAAATAATTTGGTGATAAAAAGTTGTTACCGGGTATGGTACTAAATATGTAGGTTGTTGCTCCTGAGTTGTGGTTACAGAGTGGACAAGAAATTGTTTTTTACAGTAGATATTTGCTAGGTTATCTATTAGTACATATTAACCGGTAATAATTTACTACCAAATTTATTACCGCATTATTTAGAGTGTGCTAAATGTGATGATGCGACAAGGAATCCATTGTGTAAAAAGAAGCATCTCCTCCTCAGTGTCATATTTTTGCAGAGATGTTTCGGGGTTGTCCGTGTCAAACGGTCAAGAGCACTAAATATTTTTTTGTTATCTGATCCATTTACTTGATGGCTGAATTAGGTACAAAACAAACATTTAACTTTGCAAATTTATAGGATTATTCACAAAGGAAATGATAATTTTCTTCTTTTAAAATGACAAACTAAATGAAAACTTAAAAATCTTTCATGTAGTTTTAATTGCTAATTACATTACTAGATAATTTTTTACCAGTTATCATTTGATAACCACCGAATTTTAATCGATATATTTTTAGCTAGATTTGAAAGTCTTTATATAAAAATTATCGTTTCCATTTACTCTTACCTACATTTAGATATGTTGTCAAGAAGAGCATAGAATTTTGAAAATGGTACAATTTTTCCAAATTTTATTCGTGCCACAAATAACCAGGAAATTTGTCTGCCAGCCTCACTCATAAAAATAGTGTCTTCTTATTCACAATTCTGACCCCCCGCTAAGTCTTTCTAATCCTAAAATATTACAAGATTCATTAAGTGTCATCCATAAGCCGTATTTATATTTATGCACATACGTATTCACACATAAATGCATCCTCCTAAATATCTCCTTATTCATCCCCCGTTTAATTTAATCCACTTATTGTCACCTGTACACCGACCGTAATGTGGGTCAATTAGATGCAGATTAGGTGTCACAACCGCTACAAATTAACAAGCTGACATTCCACACACACTTTTCCATCTGAATTTATTCTATATGAATGCATCTCATCACCGCATTTAAGGCTTTGTTGTCTCATAAAACAAAATAAGTATCATAACCTTTTCATTTCATAAAACGGCTTTTTTTATTCCAATTTCGCAACATCATCTCGATTTCAATTACAAAACGGGAATAGTTTAAAACGCGATTGAAGGGTGGGATTACGATTACAATTAAGATTGCAGGAAAAATAATTAATTAATCTCAATCTGATAAAGAGATGGGGTTAAGATTAACGTAATCTAACCAAGCTGGGATTGGGAATTCGATTCTGATTCATAAAATTTTACTGGGATTGAAATGGAAATAAAATGGAATTCGATTTTTAGCTGCGGGGAAGGATGCTTTTTTTTGCGCGTGGGAATTTTCTGCCGTTAATTAGTTTGGGATTTGGAATTAATTGGTATGGTGGCATCCTTGGTATTATTCTTATTCTTGAGAGGATTGCGTAATGGAATTTCTGTGAGTAACGGATTGATTGATGACGGTGGTGAAGTGGTGGTGATGCATGGTAATAAACAGAAGTTGATGGTATTGACGAATGTGTGGAAAATTGTGTTGTGGTGAATTGCCAATTTAAAATCGATACTATGAGACACTCTGAATAATTGGGTAATAAATGTTACTACCGAAGTATTTGAGGCAATTAACCAGCAAATCTACCGAATACCGAAAACCGATTACCGAAAACATATTAAATTTTACGAAATAATTTTATAGACTTGTACTCTTTACAAAATTCGGAGTGATTTGCCACACGGATTTATTAAATAATTCGGTAATAAATGTTGTTACGGAATTATTACCGACTAAATTTGAGACACGAATTTAGAAGGATTATGCATAAAATTAAAGCGTCAAATCTGCTGTTACCGAAACATGATGCATTTTACAAAAATAATTTTAAAGTCTTGCACAGTTTACAAAAATTCAATACAACACTCTGAATAATCCGGTAATAAATGTTATTACCGAACTATTTGAGTCAGAAGTTTACAAAGATCACGAGAGAAAATCATCTTCATCAGATCTCCTGCAACTATTAAGATATTAAAATTTTACAAAATAATTTATAGACTTGCCAACTTTACAAAAAATCCGATCGAATTGCTACACAGATTTATTAAGAGTGCAAACCTCATCCCGTGGCACGATGGGTACATATTATAATTAGCAAGAAGAAACCCATGTGCTGTGCTGGGTGAGATGAAAAGTATTCCTAATTACGGGTGTGGATTGGGGGGTGTGAGCCAAAGCCAGAGTCCTTCAATTCATCTGTACATATGCACCACTCAAATAATGCATGAATATGACTTGTATGTCAAAATTACAAGTGCATTACATTACATTTCCATGCAGCACAACCGCCTCCTGCATTTCTTCTATAATCCGCACTCGAATGCCTAATTGAGATTGGATAATAACAATAATAACAAAAATAACGTGGCGATGTGAACACGAATTGCATTTCATTCTCTCCTTTGTGCTCGGCGTCATCATTACGTTACGTACCTAATTTTAACATTGATTGATTGATTATTAATTAGTGGGGAAAGAAAAGAAAATGTGGCAATGAATGTTGACCTTGTACATACGTAGCTAAATAAGATTCGGTAATAATAAATACGTAAATTTTCCTCTTTACTATTTATTTACTTACACGGTTAGGATTTTATGACCGTTTAATTTAGCATGTGGGAAAACCCAGTAAAAACTAAAGTACTTATTACAAAAATCAACAAACTTTATGGGTTAAGAGTGCAAGCAAATGCAATTCAGTCTCATGCCGGACACAGTTTAAAACTTTGGGGAATTGAGGTCTGGTCAAATTCATGACTTGTGTACGATGACTTCTTGAGGAGTAAGTACGTATGTAGTGCCCGACCTTAATTTCTGCAAGTTTGTACCCACTACCGACAAGCCGAGTCAAAACGCAGGTTGTTAACGGGTTTCAAAAAATGTGCAGTCAGTCAGTCAATGTGTGCAAGTTGGTAATTTTGAATTCATTATTAAATAGTTACTACTACTACCATGCACGTACAAATGTAAGTAATAAGTTACTTAACTATGGGGTGCAGAGATACGTACGTGTCCACATGTATCCAAGGTAGAGGTGGAATTCTTAATTCTTATTTTTTGTCGTGACGGGGATGACGACGACTTTATAGAGACGAACCTTGTCATAAAATCGAATCAAGTCCGCACCGCATTATATGGGACAGAGTCGGGTTTATTAACATTATAACTGGGCAGCACGCTAAGAAATTGGGTGTAAGAATTGTGATCTTGGTCTTGAGAAAGGATTTATTACCGTGTGGTAATACTTGGTTGGTTACGAATTTTGCTAAATTGACAAAGTTCGGTTCCAATAGGTAACATTTTTTGAGTTATTGAAAAATTTGGTAATTTAGATCCCTAAAAAGTCTCGTGAATTCCTGAAAATATGGCTAATTTCAAGCCTAAATTGATCCCATTTTTAACAATACGTCTCATTTCTTTGCAAGCTTGGTAATTTTTTACCAGGTAAATTTACCACCAAGTAAATTAACTACCCACATTTTTAAACGTGTCCAAAGTGCCGAAACGGTACCCCAACGGGAATAATTAGGCGCATTTTTCATCATACACACATTAAGAAGAAGAAGAAGCAGCAACGCGACATGACACAGCTTAATGGGCACACTTGGCGTATTTTAATTTATTTAATGGATTCGACATGCACACAGAGTCGGGGGGACGGTTTGGCTGGCTGGCTGGTAGCCGAGAGATTAAAAGTCATCATCAAGGTGAAGATTAAGAAAAGATGACCAACTTATTCATTTATCAGGCAGGCAGGCTACTATACTTCTTACCGTCGAATTTCATTGTATGTACATAACTTGACACATTTTTTAAACACACTTTCAGGGTGAAGAAAAGAATGGGAAATTTTTATTTAAGAGGCCGCCAAGTGGGTTAATGGGCTTTGAAGAGACGTATGAAACTTATTATAATTTGGTTGGGACCGATTTGATTTTAATTGATACTAATCGATGAGGAGGAGTATATTTTGTGTAATTTTTTAAATGTCCAGGAATTTGTGGTAAAAAGCTGGAAAAAATTGGTAGGGCAAAACTCCGTTATTATAGTTTTTTTGGGGTTGCTCAACATTTTTCATCGGATAGATGACTAAGGAGGAGAAAAGAAATTTAACTTTAACAAGAGAATTTCAGTAAAAGTATTTTTTTTAATTGCAAGTATTTTGGACACACATGCATATTTTTGTCTACATGTAGATGTAAATGGAGGTAGGATTTGACAATTTCAATTTCGGAATTAAATGGATGAATCATTTCGTATGAATCATACTTAATACAATTATAAATCTTTTAAACTTCAGTTTCTCCACTAATATTTGTTTGCGTAGTAAATAAATTTAGTTAAAAATGTTGTATAATTTTCTATGTATGCATGAAGAACCTTTGCATTTAATAATAAAAAACCCAAGTATCTTAATGCTTTAGTTTTAAGAAAGTGATAAAGCTGGATGCCGTATGGCAGATTTTTGTAAAGTCTTACATATTTTATAATTTTGCAAGATATCCGATGTTGTTGTTCGAGACTAAAGTATATTTTTATACAAGTTCTTCGTTTACTTTATTTTCCAATTATGTTCAATAAATATTTTAGTTACAAAAATAGTTGAAAAAATTTAAATTCTTTAAAAACTTTTAAAAATTGGCAAATTCGGGATGAAAATGTCGTCCGACCCGGCGTCTGGCGCATTCCCGGTTGCGGCAGGGGCAGGGGCTGGTTTTCCGAAAGACCGGCCAAAATGTCCGCCACCACTCCCAGGAGTGTAGCCACCCCCACCACCGCCACCATTGTACCCACCACCACCACCATTATAGCCACCACCACCACCACCATTGTACCCACCCCCACCGCCACCATTGTACCCACCACCACCACCGCCCCCATTATACCCACCGTCGCCATTGTCAGCCTCACCACTACCGCCACCGTTGTCATTGTAGCCACCCCCACCGCCGCCGCCGTTATAGCCACCCCCACCACCGCCGTTGTAGCCACCCCCACCACCGCCGTTGTAGCCACCATCGCCACCGCCGTTATAGCCACCCCCACCACCGCCGTTATAGCCACCACCACCGCCGTCGCCGTTGTAGCCACCCCCACCACCACCCCCGTTGTAACCACCGCCACCCTGGTCAGCATTATATCCGCCAGCCCCGCCACTGTATCCACCCGAATAAGCGCCACCCCCACCGCCAGCAACGCAGCCAGCTTCGGCTTGAAATCTGTTAAAAAGTTTGAAAATTAGAGCAAAATCTATCATGCCATTTATCCACGTACAGTTAAGAAATATTTCGAATAATGTGACAGCGGTTTGATAATTGTGCATTCGGACATGATTTTATTGCTTTGGTAATAATTTATTACCAATTTTAGCAGTAAAATAATGTGAACTTGGTTCTCAATGAGAAGTACTTTCTCGACCCAAACAATTTTTATCCAAAACGGTAACACAATCTTACCACTATTCGTTTGTGACCATAGTTTACCAATTTTTTTACCAACTTGTTACCGGATTTTGTATGTCTAAATTACATACCTGCACATGTTCGTATTATCATCAAAGACGAGATACTTATTCCCCTGGCATTGTTGTTGGTAGGCATCCGTGTCACACCAAAGACACGGGTCGTCCCTCGCCTTCCCATTTCCGCAGAGGATAAACCGGGTGCAATCCGTGGGATGCGGGTAAGACCCGTCTTCTTTCCCCTCGCAGCTAAAATAGTCCGGAAACTTTATCGAAACTCGGAGTTCTTCTGACTGTGCGTGACCGTCTAGAAAAAAATATGATAAGTTGTTATCGATAACATTTTGTTACCACCAAAAGAATCTTGGTAATAAAATTTCCACCGACGATAAAAATAATTTACAAGAAATTCAAACTTTGAGTAATTGTGTACAAGAAAATTTGAATTTGTTGACAATTATTATTACCATTTTTATAACAAATCGTAACATTGTGGTAACAATTTTGTTACCGATTTATTTCAAGTTTGTACCTTGAACCACGACCAAAATGACGAGAAGGACGACGTGTAAGGCCGTCATTTTGCTGGACTGACCTGTCCTCAGGTCACCGAATGTGGAAAGTTGGAGAGGGGGTCAGATTTTCGAGGGGAATTAAGTACCTACGTTCATACATTGACAATTTAGTTGGTTAGTCGGAGAAGGAGGAAGTATTATGCAAATTGAAACGGGGACAGTTCAACTCGTGAAGCATTGTTTCGTCGGATACAGTTGTTTACATGTTTGTAAACATTTTAAAAAACTAATTGTTTAATAGGTAATATTTTTTTAATTTAATGATTTTATCTTATCGGAGACGGATAAGTATACAAACTCGACTGATCTCCTGAACTATTTTTTATTCTTTGTTTTCATTTCATGGAGAATACAAAAACGAAAAATAAAGCGTAATTGAAAAATACGAATAGTTTTTCATATTATTCCTCCTAAATAGTTTCATTGTCTCGACTTTGTTCACCTTTTAATATAATTTTATATATGATTTAGTCTTAATTTAAAAAAAAATGACTTACAAGCTTTGCAAAACTTTTTAGCTAGGGTAAAAATAAGATAAAAATATTTATTATTGCAATTCAATTAGTTAAAAAAAATGCTTTTCGAACTGAGGATGAGTACATCTGGTACAAATTTTTAAATTTTTTACCAACTTTAAAATATCAATTTTTGCTTTCCAAATCCATCAAATTTTAATTCATATAATAGGTTGACTAATTTTCTTAGACATTTCAAACTAAGGAATTTTGCGTATAAGTTTTCACAATTATTTTATTTTTATTTAAGAGAAATACTCAGCGATATTCAACATTTTTACGAATGCTCTGCGTTCGGTCAAATTGGCTAAAAAATTTGAATATTTGTGAAAAAAAGTGGTACAAATAAATGCATTCCAACTGTATGAAAATTCATATCAGAGTAAGCAATATGCAAGTTGTTAATGTATTATCTGAAATATTTTTCTACATCGTGGACAGAAATTATGTTTCTTAACAAAAAATGGCTTCCCTGGCTTGAATTTCATTTTATTTCCATTGTGACATCCAGTCAACTTAAAAGGAAGACGTTTAGAAACATAAAACCTCTTTAATGGCGGCCGTTCGGTTTAATTTTGGTGGATTAAACGGCTCCTTGAAAATGCGGCGGAATTCGTAATCACATAGCGACAAAACATCCACTACAATTTCGAATATTCATGTCACTTCAACTGGTTTTTGTTTGTATAAAATCCACAATTTAAATAGTTACACGGGGCAATAATAATAAGGATGAATGTACATACTTAAATAGAAAAAATACAATAGGACGCGAATATAATGCATGCCGACACGTTTTTCAAGATGGGATTAAATATGCATTACACATAAAAATATAAATTACACGTGGCACCTGCTTCAAAGATTACAAGATTTTTGGAATAAATAAAAATCTGCCAGATTTCGGTTCCATATTTTTCTTTTTGTGTATTTATTCGTGCTCAGGTATTTACCAGGTTTGGTCTTCGTGTACAATAATTAAATCAAGTAAAAAGTTGCGTACAGAAATTACCTGTCGATATTTTTCACTAATTTTATTGACACAAAATCTCCATAAAATTAAACAGGATAAATATTCAGATAACACAATTACATAAATGCATCCTTCAAACAACAAGTCGACATTTTTCTCTCTTTTTTCTTGCGTTTTCTGTAAAGGACTGTGCAAAAATGGTGTGGTCGATTTGAGTGCGGTGTTGGTAGGGTCCAAGGTATCCTATCCTTCCCATGTTAATTAGATATAACATGAGGCATATAAGTCACACCACTGGGGTAGGGATCAAGACATCCTATCCTTCCCATGTTATAATTAGCATGGGGCATATAAGTCACACCACGGGGGTAAGGGCCAAGGCATCCTATCCTTCCCATGTCAATTATAACATGGGGCATATAATTCGGTATGGGTCAAAATTCTCCGAAAATCCATCACACTCTTTACGTACGTCCCATAATCATTACATAATTTGTTATTCTTACGTTTCTCGCATACATATTATGTATATTCCGGTCCGGTGACTTATTGACTTGCATGTGCTACATTAACGACAAGAATTTGGTAAATTAAATCTTCCTCATCCCAAGAACTTTAAAAGTACGACCTAGATTTTGAGGTGGAATTTAAATCATAATTCAACTTCATCACAGCGATAAAACCTGATTGGATTATATAGCAATTCAAGACCTTGTCACGTCTCGTATTAAATAACAATTCTTTCTGCTCATGTACATATGTAAGAAAAACGAGAATCTATACATCTTTGTTTGGGTGGGAATGAGATGCAATTTTTCACAGAATTGGAATTATTATGGCAAGTAAGCCACGATATGAGACAAACTTGGATGGACGACTTCCTTCAACAACGCAAAAGCTTGATTACTTTATGAACTTGAAATCTTATACGACACTCTAAATAAATTGCGATTCGTTTAATTAACATCTAGCAATTTAATAAAATCTACGTATTTATTAACGGCAAAAGTAAAATAGAAGTAATATTTTGGGAACGAAATTTGTGTTTTGAAATTTTTTGCAAAATTAGATGAAGAATTTACCGCTAAATTCAAATCCATCATCTCCAAGTGATGTATGTAACGATTTCGGTAGCAATTCCTATCCGCGAAATTTAAAAGTTATTACCCTCACGTTACAAACTTGTACAAGATTTTGAGCAAATTACACTTTATATTTTTTGTTACCAATCTTGTGACCAAATTACTTCCACGTGTCCTGATTACTAATTACGGTAAAAACCCTTAAAACCCTCATTATTTAGAGTGTGATTTAAGATGAATGAATTGTTTTCTTATTTAACACCAGTGCAGCAAAACTGGTTCGTACCTTGTAATTGCATTTCATTTAACCAACCATTTCTTATACTTCAAGTTTGACTCTCCCCTCTCAATGACCAGAAAACTGGACGGATTTTATTACATTGTTCGCTAAACACCGTTTTTTTAATGGAGAGATGAATCGCACACCACCTTGACCAGACCAGAGTTCATCTTTTAGAGATCATCTTTGGTCACGTTTATTAACAAGATTTTTTTCTTCTCTTAAATGGAAATGAATTGGTAGTTAGTTTAACGTGTTAAGTTGTAGATTTTATTTTACAGTAATGAAAAGAAAACTAACCTGACTCGTCTTCTGTGAAATGAAATAACAGATAGATGAGTTTCGCTAATGAAGTAAAGTAATCAATCACGATTTGTTTTGTAGGGATTTTTTTTTCGGGAAAAAGTGTGTCTCTCACTTATTGACACAGTGACTCAAATTGCGTAGTTTGGCCGATATTTAAAAAATTTGGGAAAATGTTTTATTTTATAGGGGTAACATTTAAGGTTAGATAAGCTTGTAATCTAAAAGCTAAAATATTGATGATTCATTAATTGTATTTATGAAGGTAGGAAAACGTGTTGATGTTTTTCGCGAAATGTGACGTCATGTGAAACATTTTGCAATTTGCGAATATTTGAAACAAAATTTAAATAGGTAATACTTGAGTGCAGTTGTAATAATTATGATTGCTTTGATTTTATGAAGTTATAAATATTTATTTAATTCGAGATACAGATTTTGTGTAACTTTAGCGTTTCAAAGTAGAATTTGAAATGTACAAGAAATAGTAGAATTACTTGCAGGAGCTGACATGTCGCTGATTATGTAAATCCAAAGTTTTTAGTGAAAAGTCTGTAAACTTATGTACATGCACAAACTTTTCAACCGTTTGCAAAGATTACGAAGAAAAATCGAATTTGACTGCATGTAATGAAGTTTTGTTTAATTGGATAGATATTTGTTTAACTTTAGTGTTTTAAAGTAAAATTTCAAATGTGTAGTAAAAAAATAAAAAGACGAAGATATAGCTGCATGCATGGAACAAGATATACTGCAATTTACATGACTGCATTCATGCCTTCAAGTAAATTGAATGTTATCAACCTAGAAAATGCTGCAAACTTATAAATGATTCCACTAGTTTACCAAGATTACGAAGAAAAATCAAGGTACACATCTGTGTACTATAAAAAAGTACATGAATTTAAAAAGTGTCTTTGTGGCATTTCACGTCAGCCTTCGTAATTCCGTAAATACACAAACTTATGAAACTTACGAACATCTCTAAAGTTTGCTTACGAACTTTACGAAGATAAAAGGCATATTTTTCGTTCGTAAACTGATCTTCGTAAAGTTAATCTAGTTACGGACTTACGAAGGCAGACGTGAAACTCCTCTTTATTTTGTACAAGTTTGCAAACTAATTTTACTAGGTTGGGAATTACGTCATTATTTCTTAACGCTAATCCAATATTTATCAACCCTTTATAATTTGTTACTACTACCAAATCCTCTTCGTCTAGACCACACCACAGATCATGCCAACTAATACCAAATGGTAATACATATCTAAGTACAAGTAATAAAAAATTAGCCGAATATCAGTGACTGGGCCAAAACCTGACCACATTATGTCAGACCAGTGAATCTTGAGAAAAACGGTGCTTTGACTTATCTCTTCATTCAATTCAGACGGTAATAAAAACACGAAAAAACCAAACCAATCGACGCACATGAAATAATAAATATTGCATTTCTACTCCTAAGCAAAGTGGTCGATTTCATTTTTTGTGGGTGGTTTGGTTTGGTCAAGAAAAATATCAACTCAACTCACTGAACCAGATTTCATTGACGGGAAGGAATAAATAATCGATGGGAATTGAAAAGCCTGGCTGTTTTTTTTAAAAAATATGGGTCATTCTAAAATTTTTACAGGTAACTAACCTACCATTATGCAAATTTAAGGAGATAGATACTCATTAATTAAAACAATGTAGGATTAATTACACGTTTTAAGAGGGTAAATTGTGTAGACTTTTTTTGTAATCTTTTGAAAATGATGATCTCTTTAAATTTACGATGCATTTGCGTAACCTGATTTTTATCAGGGATAAGCTTTTGGATAAGCTTCAAAATTTTTGCAGAGTTTATACATAACCTGCCATTTTATATGCAAATTCAGTCATTCACAATATTTATTTAGTGAAACAATGTCGAATTAATTACACGTTTTACACAGATAATCCCTTCCTTATTAAAGCGGGTGTAAGTTGGAGCAGGTTTTTTAAATAATTTAATTGTACGAATTCAACTGTTTAATCGCGAATTATGTAATCCACTCGAGTTTTTGCGGTATTCAGAAAACTTTTTGGTTAGCTTCTTGCTTGAATTGTTTATGCATTTATGCAAGGATTTGTTTGCTGCAAGTTTGTGGTGGACTAGGTTGTATTGCATAAACCCGTTAAGTGGTGGGGGATCATATCTTATTGTTCGTAGAAAACTGCAGATATTTAATAGTTTAATGGAAATCAGGTACGTAACTTTAAGTGAGTTCGGTTAAGAAGAGGTGGAAGGATGCATAAT